TGAAACTGAGGGGAACAGGTACTTTTAAATTTTAATTTAAAAACCTTAATTAGCATACAAAATGTGACTAGGTACTTTTTGAAGTTCCATACACTTGAAAGATAAAGGCATTACTTTCAGAATATGTTCATATATTCATTTGGCACGGGCACAGGATGGGACAGAACATTAAGGACTTGTGTGAGCTCTGGGTTGAGAGTAATGAAAACTCGGCTTAGCCCCATTCTCGGGAGCCTACACGAGCAGGAGAAGGGGAGCAAAGGCTGGGACACAGATTCCTGATGCGAATTCAATACAGCATTTTGAGATGGAACATTTGGAATCTGTTTTCCTGGCCTCGAGTGTTTCACTTGGCCACTCTTCTTTGGTGGCTTCTTCATAGCTCGTGGGTGCCCACCTGTCCCCACTGGTGTCCAGTGTTCCCTCCCCTGCTGCTGCTGCTTCCGCCCTTCATACCCTCTAGTTAGCATCGCCATTAGAAAATGAAATCTGTGATTTTGTGGGGAACAATGTCCAGCTGCTCAAACCCACCCCGTTTCCATTTTTAGCTTCTCCCCTACTTAAAAATAAACAGCATCGGGTCGCACTTGCCCAGTCTCTGCCGCAGGCTCCAGCAGCCATTCCTTGAGCCATCTGCTCCTCCAGATGCTTCTCTACCCCTCCCCATCTCAGCTCTTCTAGGGAGAGTCAAGGGGCGGAGCTCAGCAGCCTTCAGCTCTGCAGCACTGCCTGCCCACGCCCCCTTAAGTTCTCAGCCTCAACCCCAGGCACCAGCTTGCTGGTCCAGACAATCTTAGTATTTCCAGGGAGAGGATGTTGGCTTGAAAAGGCAGGGGCGTTTCTATGGCGATGTGAGTCAACATCTCACAGTAGGAAGTGCAAACTAGTTTGTCAGAATTTCAGCTGAGCTCTAAGACTGACTTGGTTTGCTTCCTTGGAAGTTGGTGTGTTAGAGAACCCTTGGTAGCTGCTGTTACGTGGCCACCTCCATCAGTCCCTTTGGTCTGAAAGAGTGTTCTCAGATGACTGAGCAGAGCTGCCTGGTGTTCTGAGACACTTGTGTGATGAAGACAAGTCCCATGCCTTCCGTTAACCGGGAGGGTGGGTGATACTGACAGAGAGAACTGCAGCAGCCTGCTTCTCTGCTGTGTCTGAGATACCTGCTAACTACCTGTGGTTCTTGCTAATGTGCTCTGTCTCCCCAGCCTGCTTCTCTGCTGTGTCTGAGATACCTGCACAGGAGACAGTGGTTCTTGCTAACATGCTCTGTCTCCCCTCCTTTTCCATATGGCTAAGATCCGATAGCTGTTGGACCTGGTGGCCTTGTTCATCTGCAGCTGGAAGTACAGGGGGCTTCACACACTCTCAAGATTTGTGGGGTAGTCATTCACAGAACCGAGCAACTTTCCAAACGTCCTGGGGAAATCACCACTCCCAGGCATTTGCTTCCAGCAGATTGGAATGCCATAGCCCTTCCTGTCTTCAGGGAATCGGCTACAACCACACCAGAACTCTCTTTTCTTCCTGATAGATTTATGTTAATGAAATTCAGATTCTGTCCTATGGTCGCAGTGTTGCTATCTGATGAAGTTGACAACCTGACTCTCATTGTCATAATTGAGGCTCCTTGTTGTAGGCTGGATGTCCCCTGTCTCATTTACATTTCTTCAGTATGAGTTCTCTTCTTGAGGGTGTTTTAAGCATGTGAGACAGGAGGGTGGACCACTGAGCTCAGGATGCAGCTCTATTTGCATCAGCTAGCTTCATCCTAGATACAAGCTACCCCAAGAGTGACTGCTGTAGGATGTCAGAGAGCTCTAAGGAAATGGACTTAAATAAGAACTAGAATATTCTACTCACTGTTATAGCTATCTGGACCAAGGGAGTATACCCTGTTTTTTCTTCTTGGGACATCTAAGAATGGCATTAATTAAAATAAAACAAAAACTCATAAACCAGTGGCTGAGATCCAGGTTTCAGAGTAGAAAGACCCCTGTTGTCGACCTATATCCATCTATGTCCATGGACAGCAACCCTCCATGTCTGCACTTTTAATTCCACAGGTTGAGTTACTTGCATCAACTGTGGTCTGAAAGTACTACATGGAGAATTCAAGAAATAACCAATGTGTAATTTTAGATTGATCAAAGCCCCAAGTAGCCTGTAGAACTCTTGAGTCCGAGCCCACTTCTGTTCTCCCTGAAATGTGATGCTTCTCTCTGTCCAGTGTATCCACGCTGTATGAACTATCACCTGCTTGTGTCTCTGTACCCCTGTGGGTTATCAGAATGATCGCTTGACGTCTGTGCTCAAGTAGCCCTTGGGTAATAGGCAGATGCAGCATCGTGTGTTCAAGTAGTCCCCAGGGGCGAGCCAGGCCTGACTCTTCACCCTCCCTTGTCCCTCCTCTGTCCTTGCCCCCACCCACAGCCCATCAGAGTCCCCCCCCCGCCCCGTTCCACATGGGCCCTCAGCTCACCATAGCCTGGCCTTCCTGTTCAGGGTAACAGCATCACAGCTGACTGAGCAACCCCATGGAAGCCTCATCAGCCAACACCTCCCTGTTGGTTTTTTTAAATGATCTTAGTCACTTCTCATAAAAGAAGAGCCTCCTTGAGCTTCCCCAGGCTCTGCATGCTGTCTGCGGGTTACCTTGACAAAGGAGAGTGGGATCTTTCCACTCCCTCTTAGGGCATCAGGTGCAGGGAGGAGAGCAGGCTGACTGGGTTTGCCTCACTGGGTCCTGGGAAGTCAAATTTGTCACAGTGGCCTCTGTACCTACAGGGAATTATTTGGACACATCCACACCAATCCAGACGGCTCGTGGTTTCCTGATTTATTATTCTGAGTTCTTCATCCGCATGCCCTCACCAGCTACCTCCCCAGTTGCTGCTAGCTGAGTCAGTCCTGCTCACAGAACATCTTCTTCTGCTTTAAAATGCAGAAACCACAGTGGACGGGCATTCTCGGAAGTGAGCGGCTGGGTAATGAGCACTTCCTTCTGGGACATCCTTCTCTGCCTGGCCTGACAACATTGCTGATCCTGCTCCCAGCCTCTGGGGACCTTGAGAGCTACTAGGTGTCATCACTTCTGGGACCTGTGGGCTGGAGAGACTTTCAGGCCACATCCAGAGAGCCAGCTCTGCAGTATACCCCGAGTGGCTTATTCATGCAGAGGCCACATTGGTGTGCAGTGGCCATAAAACCCTGTGTAAGGTAGAGTGGGAAGAGAGAATGTTGTCAGGGAGACAGCCCTCCACAGTGAGATCTGTGCTTCTGGAATGGCCCTGGCCTCAGAGTAGAAAGAAGGACCAGGCTGGGAATTGGTTTCTCTAGATTGAGAGGACCCTGGCCAAGTTACAACACAGCAGACCACCACAGCCGGACCCTGCTGAGAACCACCTTCCAGACTTGTCTCTGCCTGTGTGACTCACCCAGGCTCAGCCACAGAGCCTCTGAGATCAGACCAGCTACAGCTGGTTGCCTCAGAGTTCTGCAGGTTTTCAGAGAGCAGTTAGGACGCATCTACTGACCCCCATCGTCTTTCCTTCACGTGAAGCATTTGCCAGACTCCCTAGGGTATGTGTGACCACTGTGGTACTGCACCTGGCTCTGTGCAGAACTCACAGATGTGTTTATGGGGCTCCCACAGCTCAAGCCATGGTGGGGTGCCCTTGGGAGGGCCAACCACAATAAAAGGGATGTGGTACAAAGGCTTGATTTGTTTGTAAAATCCCTACTAAAGGGGAATGAAATGAAGACCCAGGAAGGATAATCGAACGTCTATGTTCACTGGAAGGGTCCCTCCATCCACAGTTCCTCCAGGCACTGTGGTCAGCCACCTTCTCAGCTGCTACCGTGTGCTGTTGAGAAACCTTATTAGTTCCTCGCCGTGATGACAACATGCCTGAGAAGGAAGGGCTTATTTTAGGCGTCTAGTTGGAGGGTGCTGTCTTTCATGCTGTAAAAGTCCTGGTGGTAGGAACATGAGACAGCTGGTTACGTGGCATTCACAACCAGGAATCAGGGGCTCAGCTCAGTCTGGGACTCATGTTTAGGGCTCTTCTTACTCAGTTGGCCCAGTCTAGAAACTCCTTCACAGCTGTGTCCAGAGCTCGATTTCTGTGGTGATTCTAAATTCCAACAAGTTGACGATCACAGTGTGTCTTCCATACACCCATGGTGTTACCCCTTAGAGCATGTCAGGTTTCAAGGGAGCCAGCCAGCTTCCTAGAGTCAAGTTCACCAATCTGGAAGGTCACTGTGATCTTGACATGGAGCTGTATTGTGGGTAACAATTTAAAGTGGTTTTATCTATGGATTTATAGGCAGAAAACCCACAAAGATGTGTCACCTGGCGGGTAAGGGGGCTGCTACATCCTAACCAGCTTTAGAACTTAGGTTGTCAAGGCCGGAGGGAAGCCTGATGTGGAAGAAGTAACATTGCCAGAGTATGTCACTTCTTAGGGCAGAATGAATATATTGTAGGCTAGGGGTTTGGAGAACTGTCTCGACAATGGCTTGGCTCCAAGTGCAAGAGGAAGAGTCTGGACCTGGCAACAGGAGAATATGGTGTTGGTTTTCTGCCAACTTGACAGAAGCAAGAGTCATTTTGGGAGAGGGAGATTGGCCTGTGGGGCATTTTCTCAATTGATGGTTGATGTGAGAGAGCCTAGCTCACTGTGGGTGGTGCCACCCCTGGGCTGGTGGCCCTAGGTACTATATCAAAACACCATGGTTAGTTAGCAAGCCATGAAGAATAAGCCAGTCAGCAGCACTCCTCCTTGGCATTCCTTCCTCCGGGTTCCAGCCTTGAGGCCCTGCCCTGACTTCCCTGCACGATGGACATAGAAGCTGCAAAGTGAGACAGACCCTTTCTCCCTAGGTCGTTTTCAGTCCTGGTGTTTTATCACAGCAATAGAGACACCAAGACAGAAGTAAACCTCAGCCTTATTTCTCCTGCCCTCTCACATGAAGTTCTTTCTGCGCTTCCCTCGTAGACCCGGTACCTCTCTCCGCAAGCTCGCCGCCGGTTGCACGCTCTGCTCGCCTCTTGCTCGACCTCCATGCTGATCCTGTTCAACCTGGTGTTTCTGGGAGGGATTCATGTTGGCAAAACCTACTGGGACAGGATCTTCCTGCAAGGTAAGCACAGCTCTGCCTGATGTCACATTGTCGTCTGATTTGCATTTGGGTGCTATTGTTGACTTGGGAGTCTTGGGAGAGCCGTGCATATGACAAGTGACCTGCAAGGTGTCAGCTGGGAATGGCTTCTGTTCCATGGTGACTGCGGCATTACCTGTTTGCGGCACCTCATATCCGCTGCCCATGAAGCTTGACATCCAGCTCTCCTGCACCCTCCATGCTATTCCTCTTATGTTTCCAATGTCGTGACTTCTTCCGGCACTTCCGCACTGATTTTAGATTCCAAGCTTCAGTGTGCCATGAAGTGTAATGTCGTCTAACCTTGTTGCATTTACGTTCTGGATTTCTGTTAGCAACATTCCTGGGTGTCTCCTTGTGCTGTCCTGGAGCTGTGAGCTTGGGTCTGGTGTCCACCCTGGACCTGGACTTTTGTCTCTGTGTGCTTCTGTGTGTGTAGGCACATGCGTGCCATGGCCTACGTGCACAAGAGATCAGAGCACAACTTTGTGGAGTAGTTTCTCTCCTGCTGCCTTTTCATGGGTCTCAGGAATCAAACTCAGGTCTCCAAACTTGCCCAGCAAGCTCCTTTACCCACTGACCCATCTCGTTGGCCCCAACTGTGAGTTAATCTTTTGTTTCACGTCCACGGAGTGGACTGCCTCAGTGTCCACAGCAGGTAGAATGCCAGGTGTGGCAGCTGTGAAAACTTGACGGTAGTGGTCATTACCGCTGGTCACCACTGGGACTTCTGAAAGGTGAGAACAGACTGTCCACTGAGTCTAGCCCTGGAGCTGCTTGCCGTGCTTCCAAAGAAAGGATTCCCTGTTCTGCTTGCACCACCCCTGCTTGGGTCTGGGGAGTCCTGCTGAGCAGCGTCAGTGAAACCGGACATGGCTGGCCGTCATCTCTGCATCAGGGTCCCCAAGGAGCCAGAGATATTTTTGCTGCAGCTCTCTTTTCACACCGGATACAACTTCCAGATGCCTGATATCAGTCACGCTTGTAGACAGACTGTGTGACTCAGTGGGCTCACTGGGTCCCATTTGACTTTAATCTTGTCATTGGAAAAGCCCATCTTTGATATACTTCCTGGAGCGCTCAGCGCATGACCGCATGACCGCATGACCGCATGACCGATGCAGAACCTGACACATTGGTGAGCACCCGGAGACTCGGGGTGGGGGTGGGAATGCTGACTCTGGGCTCCTTGTCACCTAATGAGAAGGCTCTGACTTCCTCCTCAGTCAATCAAATATATCGAGTGTCTGCTATTTACAAAACACTGAGCACACAAGGATGAGAAAGGAAGCCCATTGCTAGGTGTGGTGACTTCATCCAAAATCCTAGCACTTAGGAGGTTGAGGAAGAATGTTTCAGAGTGTGAGGTCCACCTGAGCCACATAGGGAGACCCTGTATCCAGTGGAGAGGTGGAAGAAATAAACAAAACACGGGTGATAAATAGGGACACCAAATAAAAATAGTTTCCAGGTGACATTTGGCTGGGGTGGCTGCTATATGGATGTCTGAGGGAACTGTCAGAAGTCATTGTGGCATAGTGGCTAACCTTCCATAGAAATGGTGTGTAGATGAAGGTTTCTATCCTGCCCAGTCCTGCAGCCGATCAGTCCCAAAGAAACACACAGAAGCTTATATTAATTATAAACTGTTTGGCCCATTAGCTCAGACTCATTATTAGCTAGCTCTTACACCTTAAATTAACCCCTAATTCTCATCTATGTTTAGCCACATGGCTTGGTACCTCACTCAGTGTGACATTCTCATCTTGCTTCTTCTGCATCTGGCTTGTGACTGCGTCTCCGCCTTTCTTCTTCCCAGAATTCCCCTAGTCTGGTTGCCCCGTGATACTTCCTGCCTGTCTACTGGCCAATCAACATTTTATTAAACCAATTTGAGTGACAGATCTTTTCCGTGTACAAGAGCATTATCCTACAGCAGTGGTGTTTAAGCTAAGCACCAAGCAAGGATTTCCCATGTCCAAGAAGGCTGCTGTGCTGGAGTAACTAATGTTGACGGCCATAGCAGAAACTCCAAATCTTGGTGGAGTAATAAACTGTACATGTTTATTACTCAGGGCTGAGGAGACGGCTCAGAGGGAGGCGTCAAACCCTCAGCACCCAAAGAAAAGCTTGTATGACCACACATGTGCCTTTGACTCCAGGACTTTGCAGTGGGCAGATAGGGGCGGTAGTGTAAAGTAGGGCAAGGATGATGGAGGGGTAGAGAAAGGGTGGTGGAGGGGTAGGGCAGGGGTGGTGGTGGAGGGGTAGGGCAGGGG